ACAGCTTCCCTGGGTTCACTTAGCAGCTCCGCTCCAAAGACAAGTTAACTCTTAAAAAAAGCCATTCCCATGGAAGAAAGAGAGCACAAGGGTATTGTTTCCTGCTTTGGGAAGTCTAGTCAAAATCCTTCCCACGTTTTTTAAAGTTATAAATTCCCTTTGGAGCTGTGAGAACGTGACAGAAATCTCCAGAAAATGAAATGGGCAGTGGTTTGTGGAATTTTGGGACATTTGCTCTAAGTAATCTAAGGATGACAATCCAGGCTCTGGGCCGGGTTCTCAGGATGTCCTCCAAGTAGATCAGCGTGGTGGAGACACTGGGCTATTCTTATACTAATAAAACGAATCAGGTTTTCCTTCCTAGTGCCCTAGAGGAAAGATGATTCCTTCCACTGGAGCTGCAGTGAGAGAGAGAGAGACCTTTGCCCTTGCTGGAGTGCCAAGTCAGGGCAAAAGATAATGGCTCTGATTCTCTACTGCTTTGCACTAAGGCTGTGCAAAATGCTTTCAGATCAGAAAAATGAGTGCTTCATGCTCACTTTGCATGGGTGTAAATGATTGCACAAATTTTGGGGAAATGGGGAATCAGGATTCCCCTGCTGTCTCCTTGAGATTTCCAAAGCGCTTACCATTTCAAAATGTCTACTGGGTTAGTGTTGAAACATTATAATATAAATGTTTTATATACATATCAGATTAAAATTAAGTTTAATATAATATAAAAGCAGTAATGAAATGCATTGAAACAATAAAGTTGAAATGAAACAATTTGACATTATCAGAATGATTCATTTTGACTTTTTCCCATCAAAAAATTCACTGAAATTGACACATTTTCTAATGGAAAACTGTTCTGTCAAAAGTTTTGCAACTAACTCTACATGTGACCATATCCCAGACCCAGAGCATTCAGAGTACTTGGCAGTCCCTCCTCAGGATGTGCCAGGACTGGAAGACAGATAGGCATAGGTGGGGCAAAGTGCAGTAGGAAGGGAAATTATGTTTGTTAAAGCAGGGCTGTTTGGTCCAATATCAATTCATTCAAATTGTTGGGGGTGGAGGTGGGGAATAGGTTAAATACCATTTGTAAATATAATTAATATATGAGATGCTATTAATAGGCATCCCAATAAACTGTATATGCAAGACAAAGCCAGGAGTATGTATCTACTCCTTACCTCGCATCTTTGTTTAACTATGCAATATACATTGCTGCCCCAAACAGAAAACCGTAACTGATGTTATTAATTTACAGCACAGGCACTATTGCAGTTGCAGGTTCACCAGCTTGCAATAGTTCAGCTTCCTGCAGTGTTTCCCATGCTGAGTGTAGAGCAGTGGTTCTCAAACATTTATATTGGTGACCCCTTTTGCACAATGAGTGCGACCCCCCCCCTTATACATTTAAAAACACTTTTTAAATATTTAACACTATCATAAATGCTGGAGGCAAAGTGGGATTTGGGGTGGACGTTGACAGCTCGTGACCCCCCACGCAATAACCTTGCAACCCCCTGAGGGGTCACAATCCCCAGTTTGAGAAGCACCGGTGTAGAGGAATACTGTAGCAAATGTAAGTAGAATGGTGCAGTGGATAACAAATCCAGTTGTCTTTGCCCTATTAGAGAACAGTTTTATTACCAGCAACACCCCTGCTGTTTATGTTGGTGTTGCTAGGTTTGTTGACAGTTCCATCATAAATTCCGGTGGGAGAAACTGCTTTGGGCCGCAGCCCAGTGTTTGTTTGCTGAGTTTCACACTGTAAAACATACACATATAATATAGCTGTGTCTTGTCATGGCTCTGACAAGTAAACAAATTCATAGAGCTGACCCATTTACTGGCCATGCTCTGCCTTCTGATGCATGTGGTTCAGCTTATGATGCTAGTTGATAATCGCCCGATAGGACCCCCTACTGGGAAAATGTTTGTTGTAGCACAGAGTGGGGAGACTCCTATTACTCAACAGTAACTCCTTTGGCCAATGAAGGAGCAGTTCAATGGGTACTCCTGTGCAGTTGCTGGCAGGAAGGATTGCAGTTTGTGTGTGTTTGGGTCTTACGAATGGGGAATTAAAGAGAGTGAAATGGGGTAGTAGGGGGTCTCATGGCCTTGGCTGGGACACAGGACCTAGACAGACCAATTTTTAATGTATTAGCCCCGCAGAAGAAAAATCTCAAGTACTAAAGTAGAAGAGCTTGCTCTAGGAACTCCACTGAACCACCTTAACATGGGAGAAGTAGGCTGTCTAGTTTGGATATGAAGGGACTTCTTCATTTCTCATGCTGGGAGCTGGAAGTGCTTATGAGCATAATTGTACTGTTCTCTTTAAATCTGGAGTAAAAAGCCAGGCTGGCAGGGCTAGGGAAGGTTCTAAGAGAAGCGCTACAGTAAAGCAGGGGCAGAGTAGCTTTAAGGATGATCCTTCACCCTTGCACCTGACTGGCAACTCACCAAAAGCCTCCCACTGTCTCAGCATACTCAGTTATCATTCTTTCTAAGCAGAGCCTCTTGTATCATTGCTGTCTGCCTATTTCTCTTAACATTGTCCCCGTCTCCTGGAAGGACCTTGTGAATGAAGAATGATCTTCTTCTGCCTTTACTAGAAAGTGGGTCCCCTCTAAGGAAATTTGTCCCAGATCTAAAATGCATTAGATGCCTTAAATGGGGCAATATAAGAGCATTACATTTTGTTCTGCTTTTTATAATCTTACAGTTTGTGTAAACTAACTTTACTGAACTTCTGTGAACAAGCTAGTTTCTGACTCCCTCTAAAAAGACAGAAAAACAACTTTTTCATTAGATAAGGATCAGACATCCAACAATCTGATTGTCTTGAGGTACAGAATCCCTCATCATCTTAAACGAGACATCTATTAAAGAAAACAATTATAAACTACAGACTCAACCAGGCTTCCACACAGTTTGAGTTCCAACTTAGTCTCTCGTGTACCAAGCAACAAACCTTTTCTCAGACTCTATGCAGCATGCAGACATATAGTGGTTGAATAGTACACTGCAAGTATGTTGTCACACGTATTACCTTGGTACAATATGTGAAAATATCATTAAAAAATACTAGAGCTGTCAAATGATTAACAAAAAAATTACAATTAATTGTGAGATAAAAATAGTCATGATTAATTGACTTTATATTATTATTTTTATTACAAATATTTGCACTGTAAAAAAGAGAAACAAAAGAAATAGTATTTTTCAGTTCACCTCATACAAGTACTGTAGTGCAATCTCTTTAACTTGAAAGTGCAAGTTAAACAACACAATGTAAAACTTTAGTGCTTACAAGTTGAAGCATAATGGGGCATACAAATATTTAGCGTATCTGGCACATAAATACCTTGCAACACCGGCAACAACAGTGCCATGCCTGTTCTCACTTTCAGGTGACATTGTAAATAAGAAGTGGGCAATATTATCTCCCGTAAATGTAAACATGTGTTTGTCTTAGCAATTGGCTGAACAATAAGTAGGACTGAGTGGACTTGTAGACTCTAAAGTTTTACATTGTTGCAGTTATATAAAAAAATAATTCTGTATTTGTAAATTACACTTTCATGATAAAGAGATTACACTACACTACTTGTATGAGGTGAATTGAAAAATACTATTTCTTTTTTACAGTGCAAATATTTGTAATAAAAATAATATAAAGTGAGCACTGTACACTTTGTATTCTGTGTTGTAATTTAAATCAATATATTTAAAAATGTAGAAAAATATCCAAAATATTTATAATAAATTTAAATTGGTATTCTATTGTTGTTTAACAGTGCGATTAAAACTGTGATTAATCACAACTATTTAAAAAAATTAAATTAATTTGTGTTGTGTTAATCCCATGCATTAACTGCAATTAATCGACAGCCCTAAAAAAATACTATGGTGAAATAGTGGTCAATCCCTTTTTAAAACTTGAAAAATAAAGCTTCCTATTTATTCTCCTTTCTGGACTCTCATGGGCAGTTTTTGAGTAACAAGAGAGCAAAGAATCATGTTTGATGTAGAACTGCTAAACCTAGATCATTTTATTTTCTCACTCCTAGAAATCTGGAACTGAAAACTCTAGTAAAGCATTTTTTTGTTTAAATTCTCATCCTATCTCTACATGGATCCATTGCTCTAGCCCAAGTTTAAACTTCCGATGAACAGATTCTGTAATGAAAGTGTGACGAAGTCTTTGAAAAATGGATTCTAATTATAAAGTAGTTAATCCTACTGTGACGAGTTCCCACCGGGGTGCCACTGAGCCCTGTGACGCACTAGCCTGGGCTCCCTCTCACACTGTGCTGCTGTGAGACGCTGCAAAGCCCTCCTAGCTTGCACTTTCACCAGCATTCACACAGGTAGGGACACACCCAGCTGCAGTTACACGCCGGCTCTCCGACCACCAGCCTCCCAGCCTAGGACCCCAGAGTAAATCTGTCCCATATATGAGTTTAATACCCGGTCCGCCTCTCCCTCAATGTGAAGAGGACCGTGCACACTTGTGGTAACGAAGCTGAGATTTTTCCCCAGACACCTTGATCTGGGTTAAAATATAAAACACGTTTATTAACTACAAAAGGGTAGATTTTAAGTGATTATAAGTGATTACCTAGTAAATAAACAAAACCGCAAACTGAGCTGATCATACTAGATAGGTAAGATATGAATTAACAAATTTTCACCCTGAGTGATAAACAGGCTGGCACATTCTTAAGGCTTCAACTTCTAGGCTCTAAAGTATTACATTCTTTTTTTAAGTTGGGTAGGTTGGCTTTCCCAGATTTTCATACACAGGCTAGAAATCCCTTTAGCCTGGGACCATCACTTCCCCCAGTTCAGTCTTTGTTCCTCAGGTGTTTCCAGATGTGTGATTGTAGAGAGAGTGAGGTACCATCATGATGTCATTTCCCCCTTTTATATCTTCTTCCCACTTGCTGGAAAGCTCATTTGCTCTGACCTGGGTCAAGCAGTTCCCATTGTGTGGTTCTCTTAAACAAGTGGACAAAGAACATGCAAGCGACTATTTGATGACGATTAAGATTACAGTGGTGCACAAATGGAGTTTGGGAAGGGCCTAGCAGAGGGGGATGTGACTTGTGCCAGGTTTATGCTGATAGTTCCCTTCTTATTTGCATTTTTCTTTCCATCTGTTAGCCCGAAGCCACCACCTCCCGAGGGCGTACTGTCAAACCCCTCCAAGCGGCACCGGGACCGCCTCAATCAGGAGCTGAACAAACTGACGAGCTTGCTGCCCTTCCCTGAGGATGTCCAGGCCAGACTCGATAAGCTTTCCGTCCTCCGGCTGATTGTAGGATACCTGAAAGTGAAGAGCTACCTCATGGGTAAGTGTCAGCAACTCAAAGAGACTCCTGTGCTGAGACTGGGAGGGCTTCCTGGCTTGATGGTGTTAAGGGATGTTCAGGGATCTGCTAGGCAGCATTTTATCTTCTTCTGAGCCAGATGGCCTCACAGTCCTGAATGCAATTTGTGCCAGAATGAGCTGCCACTGGGGAGGAGGGAGCAGTCTTAGGGCAGGACAGACCATGCTTCCTAGGAAACTGGATTGATGCTCCCTGTTTGTTCGTTAAGGCCAGGAGAGCAGAGTGGCTCAGGGCTGCGCTTTTAACTCATTACTATTAAGCTTTAGTGGTCGGAGGAAATGGGCCATGGGAGATTTGTCCTTGCCTAGAGGATGGACTTGGGAGGTTGAGGCAGAGCAGGCTAGCATCCCCACCCTAAGTGGGGGAAGGCAGGCTCACTTGTCGAACTCCAAGCAAAAACTTCTGGGAAGAGGAGGACTCTGAGGCCCTTTTTAATGGACGCTGTTCTGTGACTTAGTCAGTGCTTGTGAGAGTAGCTTGTGGGAGGAGGTGCTGCCCAGGTAGAAACATTCCTTCTTGATGAAGCCTGTTGGCTCTGTGTTGGAGAAGACCCTGGGGATCAATATTACTAAGCACTTTGGGGAACGGGCCTGTACACAGGTTCGTGAGACTGCCTGGTTTTGAGAATCTGCTCCATCTAGATATTCATCATAGGGTTGGCTCCAGAAATCTCACTTTCCGGGTGCAGTGCTTCTAGGAATGAGGATAGAAATCTCACTCCTTCCTCCCCTGTCTGTTTGCTTCTGCTCCTGGGAAATACAGAGGGTGCAATGGGGAAAGAGGAGATACTTGTAGGTGGCCAACTGCTTAGAAACATAAAATGGAAAGCACCCAGACTCACCATTGCCTGATGGCTGGAGTTGCAGGGACGGTATCATGGAGAACGTTAGTGGAGGATCCCTGTGCTTTTGAGAAAGATGAGAATCTCGGCCAGGGAGTCCTAGGCCAACATTCTATTTTTGCTCCTTGCTTGACTAATAGCGCAAGAATGCACGTGGTAAAGCATCTAATCCTATGTAGGCTCCTCAGGTAACCGTGATGTCGCAGTTGTGGTCCCAGTTTTAGGGGAGCAAGAAGCAAAACTTTCAGCCATAACCTTCCTCTGTCTTGAAATCTTTAATATGCTAAATATAAAAGAGGGGATTTCAAAAATGCACAGTGTTGGCCTATCTCTGCTCCCATTGATGTCAAAGGTAAAACTCCTACGGCTGTCAAGGGGAGCAGTTAGGCCAATGCTGAATGATTCAGAAAATCCGTATTGTGATAAGTTTTATCCTAATTTTAGTTGAATGATATTTATCTCCATGTGTAAGCCTTAGTAGTTCTACCCAGCGGACAGAGGGATTGAGATAGGGTCGTATTTAGCAAATGTAGAACACTCTAAAAAACAAGTCACTGTTTCTGTCTGGGAATTTGATAGAGTTGTTTTGGTGTCCATTTTCAATGTAAAATCTGCAAGGTGGTTTGTGATCCCACTGAGCACGTCCTAGGTAGGGCTGGTCAAAATTTTCCCATCAATTTTTTTTTTTTTTGGTGGAAAATTGTGTTTTCAACTAACTGAAAATTGTCACAGAAAATGGCTGCTATCCTCAAATTTCTGATTTTTAATTGGAAAATTCTCTTCCCCCTTCCCCACTCCTAAAAATAAATATTCAGCTATAAGCCAAACAATGTTTCAGTTTTGGTTTTCAATGAAGAGTCAAAATTTCCTGTAAGGGAACAAGATTTTTTTTCATCTAGCTCTGGTCCTGGGGTTCGTTTTGGTTGGCCTGGGCTTGGCTGAAATACCATGGTATTGTAAAGGGCCTGATTCAAGACAAATTACATCCTGTTTCCACATCACAGAAACCTGCAGACTTCAACAAGGAGAACTGAAAGAAAGATGTAGGTCATGGGCGGGTGTATTCTGTAGCTTTGGAACCGTTACAACATTGTGGGAGCTCTACTACTTTTCATTGAATTGGGCACAAAATGAAATGTGAATCTTGATGGTTCCACTTAGTTTTCTAAACTCTTGGAGTGGGGTAGGGGAGAAAAGTATAATTATGTGTGTATCTGTGTTTGATAGACAGCTCTGGACAGCACTCACATATGGTGATGGGTGTACTGTAGGTACCTAGGTATAACAAGAAGATGTTGTCAACTGGAGTATTTTATTCAGTATAAGCATGTAAGTTTTAAATATTTCTGTTGATAAGGCTGCAGAAAATCTCTACATTTGAGCTCTGTAAGGGTGGGACTTGTTCTGTGCTCCCTCCCTCAACATGACTTATTTCAAAGTGAAGAGAGAATTGATCTGGGCTGCTGTACAGTCAGATCAGCCTTTGATGTGGTATCCTGGGAAGTGTTTTGCTTTGGAGAGAGGCTGGGAGGGGAGAACGGAGTCACTGTCTATTTTTGGTCTTCCTCTGGGTAGAGAGACTGTTCTTGCAGAGAGACGCTGTATCTGTGCCCCACTGCATTGGGGCACTGTGGTGTGCTACCCTTGTGTGTTCTGCCGTAACGTTGCATTAGCAGGACTTTTGAACCGGCTGTGGCTCAGACCTGAGAACATCAGGGCCAGTTTGTGGGTTCAGGGAGGTGCTCAGGACATGCCAGGGGTGGTCATGCTTGTTGGGAGGGGTCATGGACTTCAAGTTGGGAGAGAACTGAGCTCTAATCCTGCTTCTGCTGCCACTGACCCACTGCGTGCCCAGGATGCACTCATTTGGGGTGCCCCCATTTTTGGCGGCTGCACACCCAGGGTTTCATCACCACTTACTGGAGTTGTGGATTCTCAACCCCTCTGAAAACCCTCGGTGTCTCAAGACAGATGCTTTTATGAAGACTTTGGCCTTGAGGTCTCTGCCTTTATTTTTCCACCTGTAAAAAGTGGCTTACAGCTTCTGCAGAGCTCACAGGGCCATTGTGGCATAATGGTTTCATGCCGAGAAAGCACTTTGGGATCCTCTGATGGGAGTTGGAAGAGCAAGGCAAAGGATTAGTCAGCCAGGCACAAAGCACTTCTGAGGAACAGCACCGATGGTTCCATTCAGCCTTCCATTGCTAGAAGAGTGGTAGCTCTGATAAGCCTTATCCAGGGGCTCCCACTGGAAATGCAGCAGCTTCCTGGCTCTCTCATGGATGTGCAGGTCTCCTGGGAGTTCCCATCTAACTACAGGGTATGAGGAGTTCATAGCCCACTGCAGTTAATTATTTTAATAGTTTAATTCTCTGCTCAGGTTGTAGTTGGAACAAGCCCCACTCTGAGCCTTTGCCACCAACTATACAACCATCACCTCTGTTGGCATTGGCTCAGGCATCTCCCTTTGCTCTTCACCCCATGACAGGTTACTGCCTTCTGTAAGAAGTCCATTACCAAGCTTGTCCTACTTGTCTTAGAGCCAGGGTTCTCAGACTTTTGTGCTGGTGACCCCTTTCACACAGCAAGCCTCTGATTGTGACCCCTCCCCTTATACATTTAAAACATTTTTTAATATATTTAACACCATTATAAATGCTAGAGGCAAAGCGGGGTATGTGGTGGAGGCTGACAGCTCGTGACTCCCCATGTAATAACCTTGCGACCCCCTGAGGGGTCCCGACCCCCAGTTTGAGAACCCCTGTCTTAGAGATAGAGTTGCCAACTTTCTAGTTGCCGAAAATCGAATACCCATGCCCCACCTCTGCCCTGAGGCCCCACCCCTTTGACGAGACTCCACTCCATGCTCACTCCTTCCTCCCTCCCTCTGTCGCTTGCTCTCCCCCACCCTTGCTCAGTCACTCAGTTTCATGGGGCTGGGGCAGAGGGTTGGGGTGCGGTGGGGGGAGGGAGAGGCCTCTGGCTGGGGGTGCAGGCTCTGGGGTGGGGTCAGGGATGAAGGGTTTGGGGTACAGGAGGGGGCTCAGGGCTGGGGCAGGGAGTTGGGGTGTGGGAGGGGATGTGGGGTGCGGGTTCTGGGAGGGAGTTTGGGTGCAGGAGGGGGTTCAGTGCTGGGGCAATAGGTTGGGGTGCGGGAGGAGGTTCGGGGTGTGGGCTCCAGGCAGTGCATACCTCAGGCAGCTCCCGGAAGCAGTGACATGTCCTCTGGCTCTTAGGCGCAGGGACGGCTACGTAACTCCATGCGCTGCCCCTGCTTCAAGGTACTGTTCCAGCAGCTCCCATTGGCCGCAGTTCCCAGCCAATGGGAGCTGCGGAGCCGGCGCTTGGAGTGGGGGCAGTACGCAGAGTTCCCATGGTCGCCCCTGTGCCTAGGAGCCAGAGGGACATGCCGGCAGCTTCCTGGGGGTGCCTGCCCCGCTGCGCTACTGACCAGGCTTTTAACAGCCCGGTCAGTGGTGCTGACCAGAGCTGCCAGGGTACCTTTTCGACCGGGCATTTTGGTTGAAAACCAGACGCTTGGCAACCCTACTTAGAGACGAAGGCCACCTTGTCTCAGCAGTGTCAAACAGTTTGGTGATGTCTGCAGACATTCATCATTTCCCACCCCACAAAAAGAAAACCCTAACAATTTTAGCAAGCTGCTTGCTGTACCAGAGCCTTTGTAGGTGTCTGAGTCAAGATGGACATACTCTTAGCCCTTTTCTGGTATGTACAAGGGGGAAACTCAACTGTGGCAGAAAAGTGACACTGAAAGAGCTGGGAGGGGGAAAAAAATCTCATTTTGGAAAAATTTCTCCAACAATTGTGTCAAAGCAAAGGCTTTTTGGTTAGATTTGAGGTCTAATAAATTTATTTTAGAACTGTAAACAACTTGATTGTGGAAAATTGTGCAGGTTTTGGAGAATTCGTTTTTATTGTACTCCACCACTCTTCAAAATGTTTTATTAAAGAATAGACATTATCTATACCGGGGCCTCTGGAGACACACTAATCTCTTCTGCCCCCTCTGCGGCTTCTTCAGCAGCAGAACTAATGCATTGGTGTTTTTAGAGCTTTTCTGATGTTCGTGATTTATGCTGGAGGTCAAAAATATGAGAGA